TTGGCCGTTATTCACTTACTTACTTTAGTTCAGGCGTCGTCTATTATAGAAGAGTAGATGAACAGCACTTGAACATGGGTCAGCCACTACTGAGAGACTGGCCAGTACCTTCTGAGGGGACAGGAGGTGGCCTCCTCCCTTGGCAGATTGAAAGGGAGACAGATTCAGATCCCTAAACCTGGAGTTATGGAGATGGGGGCAAGGAGGCATCCAGTGTGGTCATAGACCCGATGAGGGAGAATCGCGTGGGAACTCTGGAGTGGGTACACTCACACAGAGAGAAGTCAGGCCTTGCAAAGCATTGTGGTTCTATTAGCATCCGCCAATCGAAACAGAGGCTATACATCTTGTGCCAGGCCAGACACATATGTACAGCAGTTCTCTGAAGTGCACAGCCTCTGGCATGTTTGAAAACGAGAGAAAAGAAGAATAGTAGGTATTTGCGATGCTTTTTGAAATGACCCTGAACACAATGCTGCCACACTTACACTTTGATGTATACCTCTAGAAAAGTAATATCTTTGTGTCTAACTTATTTGATTACTATAGTGATTCTTTATATAATTATGAAGTACCTTTCAGTGCCATGTAAATGCCAAGAAATCCACTAGTGATTTTGTAGCAATATTGACTTTTCTTAGAATAAAATGACAAACATTCAAAGGGAGATGTTCTTTCCTTCACAGAGATAATATAAATGCCGCAGTTCAACTTCCTTTCAGTTTGGTGTTGTTTGTACTTGTCACCAGTAATTTAATTCCTTGATGCCTTACATTAAGTTACCACACTGTACCTCTGCCTTGACAGGCTGGTCATTATTATAGCTTTCAGGGTTCACAGCTGGGTAGGGCTGTTAACAGCTTCTCTTTCCCAGAAGCCTGTGCAGTATCTTTCATTAGTATGAAAGCTAGCCAGTAGGGGGAAGCTTCCCACTCAGTACCAACTTGATTACTCGGAATCCTGTGGCTTTTCAGCTATTAGGCTCCGAATCCACAGTCTTCAGCACTTAGGCTCTTACCACTAAGTTCTAGTGGGCAACCAAGAGCAATGGCAGCAACCTGTATTGTTTGACAGATATCTGGAACAATCCAGACAAATAGCTTGAGGGCAGGGATTTCATGCCTGGGACTGCGGGATTTTATTTGGCAACCTCTGGCTTCTGGGAGAAACATTATCATTTCTGCAGGGCAACTCCAGTTCAACTATTTTCCTTTGCTTATATCAGTTTGCACACTAGTTAGTGAGGGCTCAACTTTTCTCACATCCTCACCAACCTGTGTTGTCACTTGTTTTCTTAGCCATTTCTGAATAGGATAGATTAAATCTAAATGTAATTTTAACTTGCATTTCCCTGATGGCTAAGTGTATTAAATACTTTAAAAAATATTCTCAACTATTTGTGTTTGTTCTTTAGATAGTGTTCTGTTCAGTTCCATAGCCAATTTTAAAATTGAGTTTGCTTTCTTGGTGTTTAATATTCTGAGTTCTTTATGTACCTTAGATACTAACTCTCTGTAACACGTACTTTTGAAGACTCATGCCTCTGTCCTCGGATTCTGTATGACCCCAGTTAATTGAAAGTTTATCTTGCAGTATAGACACCTTTTAAGTTGATGAAGTCCAACTTGTTGGTTGTTGCTTCTGTTTTGTGAGAGTCCTTGTCTGAGCCTATCCTGAAGTGTGTGTGCTCCCAGAAGTTTCAGAGTCTCGGGGCTCAGGGGTCACGTTAATATCTTTGATCCATTTGGAGTTGATTTTTACACACGCTGACAGATAAGAAGCAAATTTTAGCTACATTTAGATACCCAATTTTCACAACACCATTTGGTAAAGATGTTGTCTTTTCTCCAATGTCTAGTTTTGACATTTGTCAAAAATCAGGTGGCTGGGCTAGGGAGCCTGCATGGGGCTGGACTAGGCCTTCTGCATGTGTGTTTCGGTTGTGCGGCTTGGTCTACTTGTGGGACTCCTGGCAGTGGATACGGGACCTGTTTCTATTGCTGGGTTGTCTTGCTTAGCCTTAATACAAAGGGAGGAGCTTAAAGTCCTACCTGAACTTGATATGCCATGCTTTGTTGGTACTAATGGGAGGTCTGTCCTTTTCTGAACAGAGGTGATGGAGGGAAGGAGTTAAAGGAGAGATGGAGGGAAGGAATGGAGGGAGGGGGAGGGGAAACTGTAGTCAGGATGCAAAATAAATGAAAACATTCAGTTAATAAACAAATCAAAAAAATCAGGTGGCTATAGGTATATGTTCTTTCATCTGGTCTTCAGTTTGCCTGTTTATGTGTCAAGTACAATATTGTTTTCTTTACTGTGGCTCTGAAATCTTTGAAATCAGGCATGGTTATACCTCCAGTAGTGTGTGTATTGCTCAGGATTATTTGTGCTACTCAAGGTCATTTGTACTTCCATATGAAATTCAGATTGCATTTTCAATATCCATGAACAATTCCTCTGAAATTTTGGTGGCGATTACAATGAATTTGTAGATTGCTTTTGGTAGGATGGCCAATTTTTTGTTTTACAATATTAACCGTATTAATCAATCCATATTCATGGAGGTCTCTCCATCTTCTGGTGTCTTTTTAAATTTCTTCATTGTTTTAAAGTTTTCATTTTATAGATCTTTCATTTCCTTGATGTATTAGTTATTTTTCTGTTGCTGTGATTAAATACTACTCCCTAAAGTAACTTATGGAAGAAAGAATTTATTTTGGGTTTATGGTTCCACAGGGATAAAGAATCCATCATGGCAGGGAGGTATAGCAGCATCATGCATGGCAGCTGGAGCAGGAAGCTCACATCCTAGAGATAAGCAAGAGGCAGAGAGCAATTTGGAAGCAGGCCAAAACTTTAAGCTCTCAAAGCTTTACCACAGTAACATACTTTCTCCAACAAGGCCATACTTCAACCTCCCTGAACAGTGTCACCAACTGGGGACCAAGTATTCAAAACTCAGAGCCTATGGAGGACATTTCTTATTTAAACAGGCACAATTGGTTAGGTATTTTATTTATATAAGTTAAGGATATTGTGAAGGTATGTTTGCCTTTGGTATATAGCAAGGGCATTGATTTGTGTATGTTAATTTTTGTGGCCTGCCACCTTGCTGAAAGTGTTTGTCAGATCTAGGAGAATCTTTAGGGTCTTTTAGTTGCAGAAAAATTATATGCAAATAGTGATACTTGGACTTCTTTTCAATTCCTTCATTTGTCTTAATGCTCTAGCTAGTACTTTAAGTACTATGTAGAATTTGAGTGGGGAGCATGGATACCCTTGTTTTGTTCTGATTTCAGTTGAACTTAGTCCAACTTTCATCCATTTAGCTTTATGATGAATAACATATTATGTTGAGAAATAGTCCCTTCACCATAGTTTCTCCAGGGTGATTAGTGTTAGTTTTTGTACCAATTGAAACCATTATATATATATATATGTCTACATAAATGTATTTTATGGAATTTTAGGTAAATACAGCATAATATGATTCACTATTAATTTTCCAAATATTTGATGTTGTTTGTGCCCTCTTCTTCTGCATTGTTTTTCCTCCTCCTTTCCCAGTGAAAACTCCGCTCCTTGTTTTTCCAATTTCCCTCTTCATAGCACTCATGTCCTGCTATTTCCCTCTCTAGGGATCATCCGCCACCACATGTGCTTCTTAAAATTCCTGGTTACTGCAATTATTCAAGGTTACATAGTCACATCTGAAGATTTGGATCTAGGAATCACAGATAACAGAGAACACGCAGTGTGCGTCTTTCTGGTCTGAGTTACTCCTCTCAATATATTATTTTATAGTTCCATTTGCTGCAAATTTCACGATTTAATTTTTCATTACATATAGTGTCTACATTTTCATTATTCATTCATCAGTTACAGACATTTAGGATTTCCTACCTGTCTTAGTTAGGGTTTCTATTGCTGTGAATAGATACAATAACCACAGCAACTCTAATAAAGGAAAACATTTAATCGGGGCTGGCTTATAGTTTCAGAGGTTTAGACCATTATCTTTGTGATGGTGTACAAGCAGACATGGTGCTGGAGAAGGAACTGAGAGTTCTAGATCTTGATCCATAGGCAGCAGAATCAACTGTGTCCCACACTGGGCATAGCTTGAGCATATGAGACTTCAAGTCCAAGCTCCACAGTGAGACACTTCCTCCAACAAGGCCACACCTCCTAATGCCACTCCCTTTGGGCCAAGTATTCAAAGACATGAGTCTATGGGGGCATACCTATTCAAATCATTACCCTAGCTATTGTGTATAGAGCAACAGTGAACAAGGCTGAGCAAGCATTCATGGGCCAGGATGTTGAGGTTTTTGGACATATGCCAAGGGGTGCTGTAGTTTTATAATATGTTAGACTTATTTTTAGACTTGTGAGAATTCTTAAAATTGTTTCCAGAGTGGCTTTACCAGTTTTGAATCCCCCCAACAGTGAATGAGGGTTCCCTTTTCTTAAATTCCTCACAGGTATTTGTTGTTGGTTGTTTTGTTGATTCTAACTATTCTGACTGGGGTAAGATGAAATCAGAGCTATAATTTGAATTCCCCTAGTTACTAAGATTGTGAACATTTTAAGCCATATTCATTCATTGTGAGAATTCTGTTCAGATTCATAGTCTATTTTAATTGCTCATTTGTTTTGGTAACTCTTTAGATTCTTTATGTATTTGGGGTATTAATCCTCGGTCAGATGTTTAGCTGAGTTTCTTCTCCAACCAATTGGTTATTTTCATAACTGTACAGAATCTCTTTAGTTTTATGAGGTGCCACTTGTCAGTTTTGGGCCTTCATTTCTGGGCAAAGGGAGTCCTTTTCAGAAAGTCATTTCCTGCACCTAGCTCTTGTAGGATATGCCCCAACTTTCTTCTATATGTTTCAGCATTTCAGGTTTCATACTGAGTTCTTTGATTCACTAGGAACTTTTTTTTTTTGACCAGGGTGATAGATACGAGTCTAATCTCATTCTTCTGCATGTTTTTCCAGCACCATTTGTTGAAGAGGCCGTCTTTGTCCAGGGTGTTTCTGGCATCTTTGTTGTAATGGAGATGTGACAGCTGTCTAGGGGATTGATGAATTTGCTCCCTGACACGAACAAAGAATTGAATGACTAGGAAGACAGAAGACACAGCTTTATCCTGTCAAGATGGGAGAAGTCTAAAGCTGGAAGTCTATTAAACAGAGGCTGACTTGGGTACTTTACAGTTCCTCTTCTTTCCCCTATTGGTCCTGTATAGATACCTGTCCCCCTCCCCGACTTTCTAGTGATTTCTCCTCATGGAGTCCTCTGGGAACAAAAAGTAGCCCTCTCACAGAGCCTACTTTTGTTTTTCTTGTCCCTCTAACTATGCTTAATACCCTGTGGTTTGAATAAGTATGGTCCCCATAAGCTCATATTTGAAAGCTTAATCACCAGGGAGTGGCAACTATTCAAAAGGATTATAAGGATTAGGAAGTGTGGCCTTGTTGGAAGAAGTGTATCACTGGGGGTGGGTGTTGAGGTTTCAAAGGCCCATGCCAGGCCCAGTGTTCCTCTTTCTGCCTACAGATAAGGATATTGCTCTCAGGTACTGCTCCAGTGCTTGTCTGTATGGTGTCTTGCTCCCTACTATGGTGACTTTGGACTAAACCTCTCAAACTATAAAGGAGCTCCCAACTAAATGTCTTCCCTTCTAAGAGTTGCCCTGGTCATGGTGGCCCTGGATAGCAATAGAACAATGAGTAAGACATACCACCCCCTCAGAGATTGATACTGCCTGCTGTTGGAGGAGTGGGTATTGACTGTTCTACTTACTTTCTGCTCAGAGGAAGTGGAATCTAGGGGGGGTCAGTGTAATGGAAAAATTAAAAATGCTGCAGATCCCCAAGCAGTGGCAGCAGGCCATGTGGCAGCAGGCAGTGGGCCCTGGGAGCAGCCAGTCCCAGGCAGGGACAGCTGCAGGTCCCTGAGCTGTGACTGGTCCTGGGCAGGGAGACACACGGTGGCGGGCGACAGAGACATGGATAGGCATACCATGCAGAGTGAGGTTGGATATTTATTTGGGGATTATGGAAGGGAAGAGGGAGAAGGGGAGAGGGGAGAGAGAGAAGAAAGAGGGGAGAGAAAGAAGGGGAAGGGGAAAAGTGGGAAGAGGCAGAAGCTGCCTCTTTGAGAGGGAGACTGGAAAGAGAGAAGGAACTCAGGCTAGAAGCTGATGAAGATCAGCCTGTTTCAACAAACAGGGGAGGGAGTGGGCGTGGCTTGTCTCTTAAAGAGACAGAATAGATCATTACAGTCAGTCCAAGTGAGGGGTGGTCCAGGGTGCTGTGGCCAAATTCTAGTGGGCAGTGTATCTGGGGCTTCATCTGTAGGACCTCTGTCTTCATCTGTAGCTGGTATATGTATCTATATATGTGAATAATTTCAGTGAAGTTATATCACTTGGGGTACTAATTGTTTGGGTTAAAGCCTCATTCCAGTCCCTGGCAGATTATCCCTATACCCAAAGAGTCTGGGATGTTCGGGTGGAAGCCTCACCCTAGCCCCTGGCATCCATATATCCAAAGAGTCTGGAATGTCTGGGTGGAAGTTTCATCCCAAGCCTCCTCCCTTGGGAGTTGCCTTAGCCCAGACTCCACCTCCAAGACAGCCTGCCAAATGATGACCCCCTCCCCAGAGATGCTCAAGACCACTCCCACAGGGTATTTAAACTGCCCCTCAGAGAGCAAACACGTGGTTTTCTAGTCTTCCTTCCCCAGCTCCTCTCTAGGAGAATGGAAATCCATCTTGGAGTATTGGTATCCGTTAAACCTTGGTCTTTTCTAATTCAGTTTGATTTGGTCTGATTCAGATTATTGCATTAGCAGAGAGAGACTTACCGGGGTCAGAAACTTTTCACTAATGCTTCCTCGAAGAACCATAGACCAAAAATCCCCACCCCCAGTACAAAGTCTGAGAAATCTCCTTTCCTGTTGTTGTTCAGGGGAGTCCAAGACACTCCCAAAACAATATAGGCTATTGCTATTGTCTTTGCCCCCATGAAGTAAATTCCTAGTGTTGACGACTCTTTGCTCTTCAGACACAGGACTTAGAGGATTTGAGCTGAAGCTGACCTGAAAGCCTCTTCCCTGAGGACTAGCTTTCCCAGTAATGGAAGGCGCTGTACAAGCTGCTGGAAGAGGGAAGCCGTCAACTGTCCTACTAGTCTGTGAGGCCTATGACCAAAGCATGAGCAGCATTGGTAAGATCTAGAAATATAATAGTGACAGTTATATTTTGGTGGCAGCCAGCGGCTGTCTAATTGGACTTATGGCTCCGGTAAACAGTGGGAAATCATGCCTGGTACTGGAAACTCAACCAACTTCCTGTTGCTAATGAGCTCATGGATCTTCAAGTAGAACCTACTGGTGCCATATCTGGTAACAGTAATTAACCTAACTGCATTCTGAATATTTGTCCTTATACCCACAGATATGTGTAGCTCTCACCCCTCATCAAAGACGCTTCCCTTTACAAAAGACAGAGACAATCCAGAAAACCCCAGTGGTCACAGTGCAGAGAACAAGTGATGGTAGGTGCCAACCTGAACTGATCCATCTACCTAAAACCCCCAACTCTAAAGTTCATGGAACATCAGAGAGGGCACGGAAATTTCAAGAGTCTGAGGACAGGTAAGTTTGCTGTGAGATCGTGTCTACTAGAAGTGACAGGGAAGTTACAACCATGATACCAGCAAAAATATGGCTGCCCAAATGAACCCGAATAATGACTACACCAATAGGCATGCTTACTTTAAAGGGGGAAATGTCATGGGACCGTACCCCTAGACAAAGAACTGCAGGCACCTGAGAATGCTAAAAAAGGGAGAATTAGTCTCCCCAGGACTGAACCTCCCAATCTCTTATCCACAAGGGGTCAACCCTGAAAATCATATATATACAAGTAACATTACATAGACTCAGAAGATTTATTTATATATTTATGTATGTACACATACATGTACATATGTAAATATATATTTATGTATATGAAAGAATAATAAAGAAAAAGGGCCATGAATTTGAGAGAGAGTTAGGGACAGACATGAGAGGGGCTGGAGAGAGGAGGAGGAAATGATGTAATTATATTAGATTTTTAAAACTTGCTTAAAAAAAACCAAAAAGAAAGAAAAAGCATGATAGAGATGAAGCTCATCTCATGACCCTATCTCTCGCATCACTTTGTGGTCTGCCTTAGCGGCCACATAGAGTCAAATAGTCCTTTGTATGCCTATAGATTTAGAACTTGTGTAGTTATTGATGTCTATAAACATACAAAGTTTTGCTTGTGTGTGAACTTTACATAAAAGGAAGTAAGGAAAAATGAAACAGAATTCAGAACAATATATCTTAAACAATTTCAATTATTAAACTGCCTCTTTTCTGTCCATCTTTCCCACCTCCCTCCCTTCCTTTCCTTTTCTCTGTGCATCCATACTTTCCCCCCATTCTCAATTTCTTGCTGCCTTACTCTTTGCTTAGTGATGTGGAAATAGTTGTGTGGTTGTTCACCTGTTTTCTTCATTGGTATCCTCTTGTGCCAATGGAACACTTCTGTGCCAAATCCCTGTGACTTAGGAAAAGGCACTGGCAGCGGCATAGAGGTTTGCTGAAATGTCTGCATATGCCAAAGATCCTGACAAGTACTTAAGAGATACTGACTGACTTTGGACAGGATCCTGTTGCATTTTCCCATTTTCCCAGGGTTGAAGTGTGCATCTTGACTGTCTCTTGAGAGCATGTTGGCATCAGGAAAGGTATGAGCATCGGTCTCTGCAAGACTCGGAATATCTAACGGAGATAGTGCCTACAGAAAGCAGGTATGCTCTGCGCTGGCTGCTTACTGTTTCTGCCCTTTGTCTACATGGATCTCGTGATGTGGACATGGAGTCATTGCGCTAGAGTGGGGTATGTTCGTGTTTTTGAGGTGAGTAAGGACATGTCTTCGGTCTAGTACAAAATAGCCCATTGAGCAGCACATGACAGTGAAAAGGTTGAGGTCAGTGCTTACCTTTGTTGAGCTGTGCATCCTTCCTCATCCCATGTGTGGAACCGGGGTCAGGTCACTATGGGGGAGCAGCTGTCCAGAAAATAGGGTTTGCTGAACTAATTTTGGGCAGTTGAAAGTGCCACATTATTGCTGCAATGAGTGGAGACAGCGGAGTGTGGCTTTCTGTCTGCTTTCAGCTCTCTCTTCCAGGTGATTCTGCTTTTTTGTTGCAGTACCAGCAAGAATGAAGAAGGAGGTAATGTCTGGCCTTCCAGTGGGACAGATTGGAAGCAATAGAGATACAGTAATCTAAAACATATTAGAAGATACTTTCTGAGAGCAATCTTAGGTTATTCTTAAAGATACTCACTAGAAAATTCATTGGCATACATTTCTATTTGACTTATTTTGCTGCTGTAATTAAGAAAAATTTCTAACAACAGGTATGCAGTGATGTCAAACAGAAACCCCTTTTGATATTACCAAACGAAAGTCAAAAAATGCTCCTCCTTCCCCTGGACTTCTTGATTCCCTTTGGTGTGTTCCACCCTAGAGTAACATGGCACCAAACAGACAGTTCCTTGGCATCCAGGAATTTTATGTTCTATTATGTGTGTGTGTCTATTTATAGATCTGTATACAATTGGTGGGAATTTTATACATAGCTACAATGAAAGATAATTATGTGTGATCCTCAGTTTCCTTCTCCAACTTCTGTCATGTTCCCCCAGCCCCCAGCACGCCCCCTCTTAACTTCATGTCTTCTTTTTTGTAACCCTCTCAGCCCAGTTATTGCTCCCTAAAGGAAACCTAGCAGTAAAAACCCTCAAAAAGCAACGGTTCTCCTTCTCCCCGCAGCTGTTGGCTGTCAATAGCGTTTCTTCTTTAAGGAGAGAATCCAGAAGAGCACCCCTCTCTGGGTGTGGGCTGACTTGATCTTCTGCAGGTACACACAGCTTATGTCAGTTCATGACTCTGGTCACCACGTCATGTCCAGAAGACAGCATGTTTTGCAGTGGCAGCAGTCAATGAGGAGATGCAAGATCGGTCAGAGTGCTCAGAGGAAGACTGCTCTGTTTCAGAGAGGTGGTGAGATGCAGTTTGGGTGACCAGAATCAGTAGCCAATGATGGTGGGCCTGCTGAGGATGTTGAGAGATGTTTACTAGCATACATGCTTGGATATAGTTGGCTCCTTGTACAGTTGACGTACGTGAGTGCGTGCGTGCGTGCGTGCGTGCATGTGTGTGTGTGTGTGTGTGTAAAATAACAGTTAACAAAAAGCAGACCATGAATTTTAAAGAGAGCAAAGAGGGCTATACAGGAAGGTTTGGAAGGAGGAAAGTGAATACAAAAATGTTGGAGTTCTATTATCTCAAATATAAAAGAAAAAAGGAAACTAATAACAATTAACTTAAGAAGACATTAAAAGGTGAAAACAGTAAAGCAGGCTGGGCAGGCCATGACGAGCAAGCACATCGGTGAGCAGCACTCCTCCATGTTCTCTGTTTCAGTTCCTGCCTCCAGGTTCCTGCCTTGACTTCCATGGATGGTGGACTACAAGCTAAGAAGAAGGAAACGATTTCCTCCTCCCAGGTCGCTCTTGGTCGTGGTATTTTATCACAGCATTGCAGACCTGCGGCTCCACATATGTAATTCTTCCCATGGATAGGATCCAGAGTTGGGTAAGGGCATTGATGGCTTTTCCCCACAACCTGCATGGGGCCTTCCAGCACTGTGCACACCAGCCAACAGAGTGGAAGCTTCCAGCTTAGCGCTAGCTTCCTTCAGTAATGTAGTTTTCCCATCTAGTTCTGGCGGCTGACCTAACAATGGCAGTACCCTCCATTGTTTGGGAGCCTCTAGCCAACAACTCAGAAGGAAATAACCCACAACTGGCGTTGAGATTTTTGTTTCAAAATCTATGATTGTTGTGAGCAGCATTATTCGTTCGTTTAGGGTATCACCATTTAAAAATTTTAGCTCTCTAATTGGACTTAAGGCCTGCTTAATAGGAGAGAAACCACGGCTGGTACTGAAAACCTAGCCAGCTACCCAGGGCTAGTGAAGTCATGGATCTTGGAGGGGAACCCACAACCACCACTCTACTAAACCATCATAATCCCTAACTATGCTCTTAACTCCTTGTATTCACAGATAAGTAGAGTCCTCTCTCATCATTTTTTTTCTCTTTGCAACAGACAGAGACTGCTACAGAAAACAACAACCCATCAAGCTGCAGAGTTGTGGAGCCTGTCCCAATGGATACATCTGCAAAACAACTGCACCTAAGGCTCTGGAAAGATTTTTAGAATAGGAGGCAGAAAGATTCTGGGAACTAGAGGATCAGGGAACAAGCTTTGAGGCTCTGTCTCCTAGTAATGCCATGAGTTACCCATAATGTGCCAGCAGTGTGACTGCCCAAACATAAGCTGAACAAGGACAAAAACAGACATGCCCAAATGGACAGGGGAAGCCTGCTAGGCCTCAGCCCTATACAAAGAACAATGAGGCAGCTAAGGAATACTGAGAGCTGAAGAAACAGTCTTCTCCAGAGAAGAGCATAGCAGTTGTTTGTCCCATACCAAATGATCAGTCCTGGAAGCATACATACAAGTAACATGATAAACACTGAGGGGCTATATTTAGAAGTAGATATGTATATACATCAACATACACATATGCATGAAACCAGTTCATGAAAAAAGAGGCCATAAATTTGAAAGAGAACAAGGAGGGGTATATGTGCATCTTTAGAAGGAGGAAAAGAAAGGGAGGAAAGGTGGAATTATAATGACAAAAAGAAAACAAAGCTTTAGTTACCTTCTAAATTTAAGAAGTTTCTGCATGGCTGTTGCCTCTGTCCTAAGTTTCGGTTGACCCTTTTCTCAACCCCATTGCCCCTGACACCGTCCCTGTTTAAGCCTTTCTAGTCCTTGTATTCCCCCAATGGCACTTCCATGTCACAAGCATTTTACTGGCCCTTCCCTCAAGAGCGACTCTTGCTCCCTGACTTCTACAGACAGTAACTCCTATTTAAACACAGAAATGTACAACTGTGTGAGAGAACACATGTGGCTGCTGTGACCATTGTGACAAAGATGCTCAAACATACATTAGACAACAGGCAGGCATCCTGTTGACGTATAGTTCTGGAGAAACCAGACAGACACATGTAGAAGACTACAACTGGATTCCTATCATTTATCCTGAAGAAAAATCAGTTCTAAAGGGATCAAAGAACTTAATAAGAGACCTGAAATTCTGAACATGTCATAGGAAGGTAGAGGGAAAATTCCACAACAGAGGGTACAGCCAAGAACTTTCTTAAAAGGTTCAATAGCTCAGGAAATGTTCTACGTATTTGGTGGATAGGGTTATGAGTAATTAACAGCTTTCTCCACAGCAAAAGCAAGTGCACTGCCGGAGTGAAGAGACAGCATTTGGAATGGATGAAAGATATTTGCTACATATCCAGCAGGCAGAAAATTAATGAATACACAGATAATCCTACCAACTACAAAAGAACCAAACAACGTAAAAATGAGTCACTAAAGCAAACACATTTCTCATGCATAATATATGATCTGCATATAAACAAGAGGCGATTGATAGGGCAGAATAAGGAGACCAGGAGGAGGGGGGAGAATGTGGATGAGGAGAAAATTCAGTGTATGCGGCTTGGAAATGGTTAAGGCACACTTGATATTTGAGCATAGAGTGCATTAGACTCCTTGCTGTTTTCAGTGTGTGCACAGCAATTTAAAATGGATGAACAGGTCTGTCTCCCCTCCTGAGATCATGTGGGTGTCCAAGAGCCACGCTGCAGCAGGTTAAAATGACCTGGGAACGAGCTGTTGGAGACGGCAATGTCTGGGTCCACGGTCGTGTGAATGCCCACGGCTCATGTTGCTCCCAAAGGTAGCACGGATACACAGGTCTGGGTTGCCATCTCCAGTCATGTTGGTGCCTGAGGGCCCTGCTGCCTCTGATTCCATGCGGGTCTGCGCGACCTGAGCTTGCTAAAGAAGGGCATGATGATATCTGGGTCTCAGCTGCACCTGGGGGACAGGTCTGGGTCTGTGGGCCTGCAAAAACCAGGGTCTGCGTTGACGTCCTGGGTGGCTCCAGTTGTGACTGAAGTCCCCGCAAGTGCCTGGGGTACAGGCCACCACCTGAGGGCATGATGCTATCTGCAGACCATGCTGCAGGTAGGCCATACAGATCTGAGTGGGCTGCCCAGCTACCAAGTGTCATGGTGACATCTGTGTCAGGGCTGCAGCTGAGGGCTATGTGAGTCCATGGTCCTGCTGCAGCTGGGGTCTGTGTTGCTATCTGTGGCCTGTGTTACCACAGGGGGCCATGAGAACCATGCACCATGAAATCCAAAGGCGAGGCTAAGCTGGCCCTGCCATTCTCTAGCTCCTGGGAAAGCTGACTCTGCCCCTTGCTGGACACTGTAGCAAGACAGGGAACTGGTGAGCTGCCCCTGCACTTGGGAGAGGTAGTCCAACCCCTCCTGGCCCTGATGGCATGGGCATAGGAGAGCTGGCTCTGTCCCACACCTGAGTGGGGCAGCCCTAGCACCCAGGTCTGACAAGCTCAAGTACAACTGGGACCCATTCAGGGCCTTAGGTTGGCCCACCCTAACATCTACCCAAGCTATGACCTGCTAGACCACATGAAGGAAATGGTCCTGTGGAACTAGAATCACAGCATCTCCATGACTCGGGGTTCCCTCCGGATTACTGAGAGGAGTTTCAGAGAGGGTCTAGTGATGATGATAGACCAGAAACCAGTGGCCTTGAACCAGACCATCGCAATGAACATTGCACATAAAGCTGATAGGACAAAAGGGGATATGTTCTGCCTATGTGACACACCTTGGCTCCCAATGTTACTAAGACAATTGTAGAGGTGTTGGAGAGGCAGGAAGTACAGAGAGCAAAGTCTTATTTTATTTATTTCTTTGTCCCAACCTCAGTTCCCCCTTCCTCCTCTCCTCTAAGGCCCTCCCGGATCGCACCACCTCCCCTCTACCTCCTCCCCACCCACGCCTTCTCCTTTCCTATGCAGAAGAGGCCAGGCCACCATGGATATCAACAAACCACGGCATATTAAGTTGCAATAAGACTAAGCACCTCCTTATGTATTAAGGCTGGGCAAGGTGACCCAGTATGAGGAGTAGGGTCCCAAAGGGAGCAAGACTCAGAGACAACCCCTGCTTCCACTGTTAGAAGAGCCACAAGAGAACCAAGCTACACAACTGTCACACACGCAGAGGGCCCAGGTCGGTTCCATGTAGCCTGCGTGGTTGTCGGTTCCTTGTCTGTGAGTTCCTATGAGCCAGGTTCGCTGTTTCCATGTGTTGTGTGGTCCTTGAGTCATGTGACTCCTACAGTCCTTCTGTTATCTCTTCAGTCAGATTCCCTGGGAATCAGGGAATCACTAAACACAGTGGTTGTTGGAGGAACTGACAGGTGTACACAGTGCTTACATTCACAGTGGGAAAATGAATCTCCTAGAGGAGAAAACGTGAGAAAGGGAGAGGTGGGAATAAAAGGCCACTTTTGCGCGCACAAGAACATGGGAAGTGTGGAGAAGCAGCACAGGAAGATGTGCTCGGGCCCCGGGAGCTGCTGTGGTCGTCATAGTCTGGGCTAATGAGAGCACAGAATGGTTTGACAGTGGGTCTCTGCATCTGTCTCCAGAAGTTGCTGGATGAAGCCCCTCTTATGACTTTTGATCCCGCACCAATCTAGGAGTAGAGCAGAATATCATTAGTTCCTGTATATACACAGGGGCAAGCATTCATACACAGAAATAAAAAGCATCATTACACTGACATGTTTCCCTGGGGGGGGGAGGTGGTTGTCTTGTGGTTTTTAGGTCAATTCTAGAGCCCTGGGATATCCAGCCCCTGCATTCTGGGACAGTGTCGGGTGGGCTCACTCTCATGGAATTGTTTGGTTTGGTTTTCATTTATTCAAATTTTCTTTTTGGTGGGGGATGCTAACGGGGTGAAGGGCAGATATGGGGGGACTGGGAAATGAGTGGAGTTGGGTGGATGATGGGACATTGCCAA